TGTCTGTCTGTCTGTCTGTCCGCACGATAACTCGAGAAAGAATTGAGATAGCGACCTGGGATTTTCAGGGTCGTTTTGTATCATAAAAAGACAGATCGAGTTCGAAGATGAGCATTCTAGTTGCCTTATTTGTCTCGCACTTTAGTACAGTTTACACCCTACATGTAAAGTGACAACGTTGTTCCTGAAAAGTCACCGTTACGTGCACATCCAGACTTCTGCATCTAGTCTGGATGTGCACGAAAACGTTGCCTTTTTAAGAACAAAATTGGCTGTACAGATTGAGTGAGAGCTTAGACTTTTACCGCATGGGTTGCGTATACCCGATCGGTCGTTGTCTACAGCGATAGGCAGAAACTCCACCGCAAAAGGAATCACTTTAGGACAGGGGAGGACCAGGCGGTGACTCCGCCAACATCGGCAGCGCGACAAGTAAGTCGTGTTTATCGAGTCCAGCCTGCTGGGGGGCCGGCCCGAGGCCCGGCCGCCTGCCTCACACCGGCTGGTGGTTCCGTAGGTCGCCTTCACCCCCCACCGCCACCCCTATTCTCTCGCTGTGCTTCCCTCCTCCCGCTGCCCATGGGCCTCGCGACGCTCTGTGTGTAAACAAGCAGTGCGATGCACGGGGTGGGGGAGGGAAAGCGGAAAGCCCGGGTCTCTCTGCCCGCCGACGCCGCCCATGTCCGACCCCAAGGGAAATTAAAGCGCGCTCGAAGCCGTGCGCCGCGGAGCCGTCGCGCCCAGGCCCGGCCCACTCTGGCCGCCGCGCCCACCCGCGGCACCGCAGCCAGCCCAACGCAGCACTGGCGTTAGACACCCTCTGTCCTTCCTGTCTGTCAACAAGTGGGAAACTTGAGTTGAAAAAATTGCTACTCATCATAGGTTCTCCTTCGTACATGTTTCTGTTAAGCAAAACCGCACTGACATGTTTTCAATTTTAAACATTATTTTTTACAGTGCATCCGCACTCAGCTGTTTTCAGGGCACTCTCACTCTCTCTATCTCGCCCCCTCCGTGCTCGATTGGTCGCGTCCCCGTCCCCCGCGCCTCAGCCACAAAAGTAATTAATTTTATCTCGAGATGGCAATCGAAGAGGAGTCTGTGCCGTCGTGCGGGGCGACGGGGCGCGCCGGCGGCCGGTGCGTGTCGACCGGATGGGCGCTCTTTTCCTCGAGCAGGAGATGAGAGAGAGAGAGAGAGAGAGAGAGAGAGAGAGAGAGAGAGAGAGAAAGAGAGAAAGAAAGAGAGAGAGAGAGAGACTCGATAAACAGCGGCGTGAGATTTCGTGCTTGTCCGCTTCGTCCCCTTTCATTCATCGATGGCTACACAGCGCCCCTGTCCTCATTGCTGGGCTGGGTCGTGGCAGAAAAAAAAATAACAGAGTGACCATGAGGGGCCCCAGCCCAGGCTGTGATTCCTATATCATTGAGTCCGCTCTGGGCCACAACAACCCCCCCACCTCCCTCCCCTACTAATAACACGCTGCTGCGTTGGCCCGGGCGGCAGCAGCTGTGAAAACTCGTCCCGCTCCAGCCGCCGCCGGCTGTCACATTATTTGCCCAAAATGTTGCCCCCTCAGCAGCCTGTCATCCCCCTGCTGCTCGCCCCCCCCCCC